TCTGATGAATGAAAGAAATGGAGATGGACGAGATATGTATGTCCTCGTAGTGGCGAAGGAGGAGGAGAGTATGTGCTGAGCAGAGCTATGGTAACCGAGGACTACGCCATGTTCTCATTAAGTCTCTTCTGAGTGAAGCAGAATGCAGGCAAAACAAGGATAAACGAGCGATTGTTCAGATATTGAAAAGTAATTAAGGTTCATTCCTGTATCAGGCAAACAATTTATATTCCAACCAAAATCGATTTAATAAAATCCCAACTGCATCTCGATCTAAATTGTGGGCAAATATTCCGCGCCTCTTTTTGTTTTTTACGTTTCCAACTGAACAGAAAAACGTTGTGTGCAAAACACTGCACTTTTTTCATATACATATACTACGTTTCGAGGACGTTATTCAATTACCTGACAACCCTGCCGGCCGGAGTCACGACACCCACTCAACGCAACCGACTGACACACTTGAAACCCCTCTGCGTCCCACCCACCGTTCCCCGTTCAGCGTCCTCCAGGTCTCTGTGTGCGCCGTCGTATCTGGTTGGGCACTTAACTTTAGTGTGAATTGCAAATGAAATGAAATGAAATGCATTGTCAGAGGAATGTGCATGGGCACACACACACACACGCACGGCTGAGCGCGTTAAGTTATCGTTATCGATAGACCCTTGACAGACTAAACGAATTTATTTGGCAAAACAAAAGCCGCAGCGAACAGCGAATGCGATAGCGACAGCCACAGCTCAGGGGTAAATTTATAGGCCCACATAATTAAAATTAAATGCGACAAGTAAACGAGAGAAGTGAGCAGTAAATAAAGGCTGTGCCGAAGGTGTTAATACCCTTTCCGATTCATGGGAAACGTAGGTGATTTAAGGAAAGAAAAGGGAATGAAAAGGAAATAATCGTACTCCGATACTTTGATCCAAACATGATGCAATGGATCGATAGGCACAATAGTTTTGGAATTGTGCGATAGATCGATGTTGCTTTCGCCAATCGATACGTACAATATCGCTGGGGACAAGGCTTTTGAAGTGTAGAAAATAAAGTACCTTGAAAAGATGTGGAAAATCTGCTAAAAAAGTGCCGTGTTAGTCAATAATTATGATCAGGAAATTCTTTGAGCAGCAGCTCCAATATCCAATATCCAATATTAAAATGTGACTTTGTTCCCCTGACTTTTTTATAGTTAGTGTTTATTATTATACAAATTACAATATTTAATCAATGAATGAACAAACCATTTGGGTCCGCGAATGTGGTTCATAATCAATCGAATGGAACCAGGCGGCGGCTGTGCCACTTGTTTAGAGGAGAGTCGTGCAGAGTGGGCTGGGAAGAGAGGCGTCTGGAAACAGTTACAGATAGGAGTCTGGCTGTAGCTGGACTGCTAATTAGCTAAGAAAGATTAACGGTAACGGAGAAGCTGTCAAAGAGACTGACAGATACGTTTACGAATTTTTATAAAGATTTGCATGATTCAGGCAGAAAGAGAGGCAAGACTGTCAATCATTTTTCAAAGACAAAGTCGCAAAGCAAAGGAAAGCAAAGCAAAGCAAAGCAGAGACTAAAATAATAGCACCCTCTCGCTAAAGAGCAAGAGACAAACTGTGCAAAAAAACCTTTGTAAATTTATGCAGTGCTTTTAATTAATTACTGTCGGATAGAACACACAATCCTCTGAGCGCGACCGCAGTCGGGTCGGCTAATTGCTGTAACAAGAGAGATAGGAGATCCCAGATCCAAGGAATGGCTTATCGCGATGCGGATTATCCTTCCATCTCCCCACTCTTCGCTTTCCTCTGCTTCCCACTGTGCTGCAGAGGAAAAAGAAACAAAGGAGAGCCCAAGCCAAGAGCTCTGCTTGGCCCGAATGCAGTTAGGCAGGTCGCGGTTCGCGTGGAGGCTGGCTTGAAAATATTTTTAGGCCAAGGCGTCCCGTCCTCCATTTGGCGAGAACCCAATAATGATGATCATTATTGTATTGTGCTGATGCCATACGAATGTATTTCGTGCGGTGAACGAACTCGAATCAAAGCTGTTTGACTGGAATACACAAATACTGCGAGAGCAGAGCAGGGCACAAGAGAGCACAAGCAGCTGTGTGCGGGAGCGGGAGCGAGAGCGCGACAAACTTCCTCCTCCCATCTCAAGCCTGACTGGCAGCTTTTTTGAATGTCATTGCCTAGGCCAGAGAGGGAGAGAGCGACGGAGAGATCAACACAGCAACGCTCTATTCTCTCGCAGTTTGCATAATTCTCTTGTGCTGCCGCTGCTGCTGCTGCTGCTGCTGCTGTGCTAATTTCTCATGGGTTCCGTACGTTGAACTTGTGGGCTACAAAAACAAAGACCCGCATCACGCATCACGTGAGAGCGGGGCAGGGGGGAAACAGATCGGTGGCCGCAACAAGAAACTACCGCTTAATTACCGATGCGCCCATACCATGTTGCTGCAACACGGCTACGGTTTGCAACAAGTTGCTGTTGCCCGTCTCCCCGTGTGGACGGGCCATCTCTGCATTCTCCTCTCGAATGATGTCGAATGCCGTTAGATTCTTCCTGCTGCTGCAGAAAATGTTGTTTTCTCGTCTTGTTCCCATTTGGGAGAGCGCTGATAATGATGACCATAATAATGATGATGATGGATATTCCATTTATTGCCAGCGATTTTCCAGTTTTCATAAATGGAGACGAGCTTGCCTTTGCCTCGATTGAACGTCGTGCATGAAATCCGCTTATGTATGTAGCCTCTCCTACCCTGTAGTACAACGTGGAGTACGAGGATATATGTATTGTGTTCGTGTAGGAAAATGTAATCTGCAGAGGTGACGAGAGGTTACCTCTCGTGCGTTACGTAGGCCCTTCAAAAATGTCCAAAGTATGCACAAGATTAAGTGCAATCCCTACAGGAGCTCAGTTCATCCTTTCAAGGAAGGGACACAAGTACGAGTACTGCTCAGCGTTCAGTCGCAACACTCGCTGAAAGCGTTCTTGCTTCTTTTTCACACTCAAAAAGCTGTGGCTCTCGCTTTGATGTGTTGCCAGGTACTGCGAACGAACCTTACTTAATTCGTAATTTAGTGCGCTTCGAGTTCGTTGCTGATCTGCTTCGTGCTTTATGCCCCCTGCCCCCTGCCCCCTGCTCCTGCCTCTCGTCCGTCGTCTCTCTCTCTGCGGTTCTCGGCTTAATTTGTTTAGTCACACTTTGTTGGAGAAGTCAACAAACTCCGCATGGGCTTGCTCAACTCCAGGCTCTTTTCGTTGGTTTATGATCATTAAAATGCTTACAAGGCGTCTGAAACTTGTCATCCAGTTGTGTATAATTAATGAAGCTCGTTTTGGTTAGAATCGGTTTATTTTTTACTCCCATGTTTGCTTTGTTGCTGGTGAAATTCAGGTAATGGCCGAGCGCCTCCCTTGGCAGGGGGCTCACATTTTTGACGTGTCTTTGGAGTTTTGACTTTCTTTTGAACGCCAAACTTGTATGCAAAATATTAGATAATAATCGTTTGAATATTTTAGTTTATTTAAACATCTTTATAACTGGATATTTCTCTAGAATATTTGATTTTGCAAAGAACCATTCTTTTGTCATAAAGTGGTTGTGGTATAAACTTTTTATTTGGATTATTAATATATATTATATAGAAGTCCCTTGACCCTGGAAAGGAATAAATTTCCACAATACTTTCTGAAATATTTCAAAATTGTTCTTATACAATTTTCTCCACAGTAGCCATAGGGCTAGAACAGGCCAAAAAGGTCAAAGTTTGGTTAAAGTCGTTAAAGGTGTTTACATGGCTAAAGAAAACCTGAAGAAGCTTCTTTGATGGAATATGGACAAGGTATTCTTATCCATCGACACTTAAAGAGAACCTCTTTCAGACTTTCTTTAAAAACCAAGGATAAAAGATGGCTTTTGATTTTACCAGGAGAAAGATCTTAGGAATAATTCGTTGGCTTAATCTCCTTACTTGAAATATGTATCGTTGTAAATTTGTTGTTCAAATTGGATCAAATGCTTAGAAACTGCAAAAAGGAATGATGAAACCACACGAAAATAGGTCCAGTCGATGCAAATATTATGAACCAAATTTTATTTTTTGGCTTAAAAGTATAACCAGAAAAGGTGTTTGAGAAATATATTTTTAAAATCTTTAAAAATACTATGAATTAAGTTTTGTTAAAGATTAAATATTGGAGCTGTGGGCGAATGCAACCCCGAATGATTCATAGGTCTAGCAGGAAAGTCGAAACTTCTCCAGCCCCCATCTCCCATCGCAGTGGCAACCTGTTAACTTTTGTTTTTAACCAAATTGTGCGCTTCTTTTCCCGCGACTGAGCCAAAACCAAACAATGCACAAAATTTATCTATGCAAAGCATACACCCGAGCCCTCCCCTCCCCACCCCACCCCACCGCACCGCACCGCAGGCGCTTGGGCCTCGGCAACTTTCGGCTGGCGATGATATTCTACAAAAGATAACTGCGCTTTTCTTTCTTTCGAACAACTGGCAATGCTGTTGCTTGCTGCGGCGTATAAGAGTTCGCCGCAGGGCAGAGTCTCCAATACAAAAAGCAACAGTTCGCTCTCTCTCACTGCGAGCGTTCTCCCTGCCGAAGTGTCTGTCTCTCGCTCTCACTTATGGTTTGGGGTGTGCCGCGGTGGAAAAACGTCAACAACAAGTGTTTTTCGCAAAGTGAAAAAGTCTCCAAGCGCTCTCCCGCTCTCCGGCTCTCTTGCCGTGCCGCGCTCTTCTACTGAACGAATGCATTCGCTAGGGGAATTGCTTCGGCGGCGCTGTGGTGGTGTTGGTGGTGCTCTGCTTCGTTTATGGGGCTCGTTCGTTTCGTTTCGTTTCGTTTCGCTTCGTTTCTTTCCTCTTCGTTTGTGTTTTCGTTCGTTCCTCTTCGCTCGGCTCGTTCGTCAACTTCAGAATCAGTTCGCTAGTTCGCCAGTTCGCGACGAACTTTTGAACATAACGGTTGTCCGGTTTCCGTATCACATACTTCGCCGTAACGCCGTAACGTCGTGGTCTCGTCGTTTGTGTCCGCGTTCTCGTGGCCTGCCCAAGTGCTTTCCCAAGTGCAATCGTACAAATAGCCCCCAACATTGTACAATTGTAAGGAAATTCTAAATTTTCTGATCAGTGCCTGTTAAAAAGTAAAGAAAATACAAAATAAAAGTGTCAAATCTCACTCCAGTTGAGGGAAATGAATGCAAAGTGAAGAAGAATACATCGTAAAACGTGAAAAAGAAAAGAGAAGAGAAGAAAAAGAGATTTTTATTGTGGATGGATTGTGCGTGTCATTTAATTGATTTCAAGGATTGCCAAATGGCAAAAGTAAATTGAAACTGTCGTCGCCGGCGTTGTCTGAGGATTAAAAGTGCAGATTATAACACCCGAAACCCGACTCCCGCCACCCGAGACCCGAAGCCCGATAAGAGTTCCTTCCATTCAGTTGCTGGGCTCCTCTTGGGTCCACCTCCTCCTCTCGTCACTCATCGCTTTTGCGGCCGGAGCGGCACGTCTGTCTGACGGCGCAGAGGTGGCTTAAATTTAATTGAAATACGCTGACCAAAAAATTAACAACCAACAACAAATTGAACAAACCGAACACTGAGTCAACAGTTTGTCAATCACTTGCATCAATCCCGACCTTCGCACACTCTGAAATGTTTTGTGCACCAAAGAAAGTACTCCAATAAGAAGCAACAAAAACAAAAGCAAAGCAAAAACAGGCAACAAATCTGTTTCGCATTTATCGTTTGTGTTTGTCCCCGGTATTATCAGCCGGAAAGTGCAACAACACACAACAGCTATCACAAGCCCAAGCGATAGCCACAAAATGGTGGTTCTAGAGACTGCCAGCGCCCTGCTGGGCGGCCCATATGCCCAGGGCGCGCCCGCCTTGAAAATGGTACAAAAACGCTACATTGGATTACATCAGTGGCTGGGACCAATCCGGAGCAAAGAGCTAAAGGAGCATATTGTAAGTCTAAAGAGATTCTGAATTGGTGAAATCCAGTACAGAAAATATATCCGAAATTGTCTTGAAGAATTGGCCCCCTAATTAATCGCCCCTGTAATTGTTTCCGTTGATTGTTTTCTTTGTTTTGCTTACAATTATAGCATCTTCCGTTGCCAGGATTGACTGACACTTTGATTATTATTTTAGTTGAATTTTTGCATCGATTTTCTTGGGTATCCCCCCGGTTTGGGGCGCGAATCTTTGTTCTTTTTGCGGTTGCGGTTGTGGCCGAGAGGTTCGCTTTGAGCTCTAATTAATGTGTGCCTCTGCTTTGGTCGGTAAATTTATGGCCCAGGCTTAAGCAGCATATGAATTATGCTTTGGGCCAGAGCCGAGCGAGTGGATGCGGCGGTCTGGGTGAGAGCGATGGGGTTAGAGATAGACAGAGACCAGTGTGGAGCGAGAGTGCATTTTCCAATTGAGTGATTTATGCGCTTCGAAAAAGCCCTGTAAAGTGGTTAAAACAGAGCAGACAGGGATTATGGTTGAGCTAGAATATCATCATCATCATCATCAATACGTAATCACAGTACACCCCCGCTATAAGCCATAAGCTACAATCGTTTCCATTTCAATTTACACCGCCAGCTGGGAGGTGGAAAGTACCCCGAAAAGTAAGCTAAATAATAAATGTTTATTATTTGTTAAACATGTAAAGCAATCTGCTAACCTCAATCCCAACCCCCAACCCCCATGCACCACCCACAGATTACGTATTCGACGTGTGCCGTGCACTCGGGTTTCCATTTCTCTCTAGACTGACTGACTGACTGTCGCATATCAAAGTGCATAACCAAGTACTTGAATGGAAGGTAGATCCTCCCCATCCGCCAGGGTACTTGCCTCTCGACTTGCTTCTGGATGGGACTCAGCTAGGGAGATGTCATTGTCAAATGCCTCTGTGTGTGACACTCTGATGGTAATTAGATGGTAATTCTGGGCCAGAGGGCGGGTGAAAGGCTTTCGTTATGCAAGTGGATGGATACAGATTCGATGGATCTTGTTTGGCCAGTAATTGGGGAAATTTCCCTCAAAATAATACCTACTAAAAAGAGTCGGGGATGTATTCTACTAGGAGTATTTATAGAATACCCATAAACGGTTCTCTCTCTCTCTCTTTTCAACCCATATGTTGTGCTCTTCAACTTTTCAAATAGATTAACTTCAGGCGAAACTTCTCGACAACTGCAATCTGCTGCTCATGTCTAGCGTTGACCTGCTTAAAAGGCCCACAGAGCCACAGAGCCACAGAGCCGCAGAGCCGCAGTGGCAGCCAGCCACAACCACAGGCTGCCTCTGGCAACAGCTGTCGTGAGGCGCACCGCTCAGTGGGTTAGCCTCCACAAGTGGCCATGTCTAACCCATCTTCCATCCCAACTATCTATCCATCTATCCGTCTTGTCCGACTCCAACTCCAACTCCGACTCCGACTTGGAAACTTCACACAAGTTAAACACTGAAAAGTGCTCGAGGCCGACAAGCGGCAGCAGAGGCTTTTCTCAAAAGGAAAAACTTATTTTCTTGTTGTTGCCTTTTCCAAATGTCATTACAACAGTTGCTCTCTCTCTCTCTCTCTGGGCCTCTCCCTCTCTGCCTCTGTTTCTTGGATTGGCCTGGCCCTTAACTAAGTTTTCAAATGCGCTTTTTTCTTCCTCCCAACTTTATTGTGCCTCTCTCTCTCGACCCCTTTTCGCTCCCTCGTCTTGTCGGTTCTGCTCAAGTGCGTTTTGGGGGGGAGTTGCAGGAAGCGAAAAGGAGCCACCGCGAGGGAGTCGCGGGTTCGACGTCCCATCATCAATTAAATCACGCAACTTTCTATGAAATTAACTCACGAAAATCAAACATGAATGATCACGAGCCCTCCGCACTGCTTGCCCATGCTTTCCCCTGCTTTCCACTGCTTGCCACTCCACTCACTGCTTGGGTGCTTCCCCTTCAAATCCAATCATTTCCTACTCCACGATCTCTGCAGTGTCTTTGCAATATTAAACCTTTATTTTTCGCTCTTCTTTTCCCCCGGTTCTGATTTATCTTTGAATACCCTTTCGCGGTACTGTACCCTTTCTCCAGGCCAATCATTGCAGGGCATACAAAATTCGTATCTTTCGCCCTTTCCGGGAATGGGCCCGTTCTCATTTCTGCTCATTTTTCTTGCTTACCTTGCAAATAGCAATTTCCAAACATAATTTCAATTATGTGGCAGTGCAACAGCAGTGTGTGAGTGTGAGTGTGTGCCACACGTGTCTCGGTCCTGTCCCTGCCCACTGCTGCTCCTCCTCCCCCCCCCTCCGTGCTCCCCCTTAGGCTCCCCCTATTCCCCATCGGCTTTGTTGTGTGTGAACTTTTGTTGGTGTTTATTTCATTTATTTCTTTTCGCTTAAAGTGCAATCTCTTCTTCCTCTTCTTCTCTTTCGCCTTCGGTTGCACCTGCAGTTCTCCCTCTCTCTCTTTCTCCCTCTCTCTAAAAGTTAATACAGAAGAAAAAAAACCCACAGGTAGCTCTAATTTATTTTTGATATTTATTTTTATGCACGCTGCGTGTAAAATTGCAACAAAAAGTACGAGAAAATAAAAAGCGTTGGAAAATGTATCTGTGGCAATCCCACCTCCCCCTTCCTTTTGCGGCTGCGGGTCTGTGCAGATTTTATGCATTTTTAATAACGAAGCAGCAGAAGAATTTTCCGCTGGCTGCGGTGGAAATTGCAGCAAATTAGGTGCCGTGGCTACGCGCTCAGAGGAAAGCTGAGCAGACCCTGATTTTCCCCCTTCCCCTGGCACTGCCACTGCCCCTCCCCCTGCCACTGCCCCTCCCCCTGCCCCTGCCCCACTACTGACCGAAGATGTGTTGCGATGTGTGGATGGAAAACTGCGGCATTAACGACTCTATGTTCGGCTTTGTGGAGGAGAAAAGCGGTGAAAATGCAGGGAGCAGAGAGAAAAAGATTGTGGATAAGTTTTTGGCTTGTCTTGGATTTGACTCAGTTTTTTCTTGTTTTCGGAACGTGTTTGGTTTTCTTTTTTTGGGCTGCAGGTGAAAACTGGAGCAAATCGGAGGTGTATTGTGCGGATTCGTTTGGGATTCCAAAAATCATAGAGCATCGGGCATGGCAGCCCCTTGTTATCCGTAGAGAATGTCTCTCGCTCTGGCCCCAAACTATCTCCAACTAATCCAATCAAGTGCAGCCATCAACCCATAGCCAGTGCCACCTGTGACCATCGAGACGTGCCCCGTGCCCCGTAATGAACTTAACTCAATCGCAGAAGGTCCAGCCAGCCATTCGAGAACTGACCCGAACTGCAATCGATGGCAGGCACTCATTATATAGTTTTTTTTTGCCACCAACAGTGGGAATTTTTTAATTAATTTTCTGTCAACGTTCGCAGAAAAACAGTTGGAGGAAAGGCCAGAGCCAGAGCCAGAGAAAGGAAATCAAACTCTCGTCTCATTTTATAATTGTGTCCAAGGTCCAGTCCAGTCCAGTCCGGTCACGTGTTTCAATTTCGAGAGGAGGAGGCGAAGGAATGGGTGGGGAATGGGGGGAACGGGGAGGGATTAAATGGTGTGAAGAGGAGCAAACAATAAAGTTATTAACAACATGTGTTGTCTGCCTGCCTGTCCACCAATTTATACTCCCTTGGAGCCATTCGAGAGCCGGCAACCACCACCTCCTCCACCGACCTTCTCCAACGTTGGACAACATCTTGTGTTTATGGCTTGAAGTTCCCAGAGAGAGAGAGAGAGAGATGCGATGCTTAAAGCTGGACTCCAGGACTGTCCTTCCAGCATAACTTGATTATCTTTTGGAGCACGACAGGCAGCACTCGCTGTGGATCATGTGGGTGCTCGGCGGAGCGGAAGCGAAGAAAGTCAACGGAAGTCGACATGAGCCCAAGATTACATCTCTGTTCGTTCCGGCATTGATATCTAGTGACATCGAAACAGAAGTCGAACTTGAAGTTTTGCCAACCTGGAGACCCCCTTCCCTCCTTCTCAGAGAATTTGAATTTGAAGTGACAGCATCATGAAAGATGGAAAGGAAGATACAGAGACAGAGAGAGAGAGAGAGAGAGAGAGAGGGGGTAGTGTGTGTGTGTCTGTGAAGAGCTTGTAGAACGTGAGCCAAAGAGCAATCTTCAGTGAAAAGTTTTTCTTTGGCTCAAACTGCAAATTGGGTTAATTAAAAACCGCTCGAGGTCATACGTAAGTCATCGCATAAAAAGAGGAAAAGAGAAACCAAAAAACCCAGAGCAAGAGCAAGAACGAGAGCGAGAGGGACAGCGAGAGCGAGACCAAAAGCGAGAACGAGAGGGAGAACGAGAACAAGAACGAGAACGAGAAAAAAATGAGCTAAAAAGATGTGACAAACTTTTTCAATTAAACTTAATTTTCATTCTTTTTCCACCCGCAACCCCCCCCCCGCTCACCCCTCAGCCATCACCCATCTGGACATCCTGGGCTTCCATCTGGGCTTTAAACCTTGACAAAAAAAAAAGCGTCACAAATTGAATTTTGATCGATATATAATGCATGGGAGAGGTGGAGGGGGACGCAGGGAAGGCAGAGGAAAAGCTCCTCTAGGCATGGAAAGCAAAATGACAGCAAATTAGCAGAGGCATAAAAAAAGGTCTCGCACCCAACCAGAAAGAGTGCTCCCCCAGTGGGCAGAGGGGGGAGGGGGGAGGGTGGGAAAAACCCGATGAAAAGATGAAAAGTTTTCTCTTTTTCGTGCGATGGAAGGAGTGCAAAAAATATACACATTAATGGGGTGGCAAAAGGGGGGCGTGGGGGGATGTGTATTGATAGCTTCAAGGCTCTCTCGAGGGGGTAGGGGGGGAAATTCTAGGGGAAATCTAATGAGGTTTCGATTAAAAGATGCCCGAGAACTAGTCCGAATCAATCTGGTACTCCCATAGATTATGTGTATCTTTAAGCCTCAGAAATGTGTATCTATGTATCTGTG